TTCTCTTTCTCTTTCTCTTTCTCTTTCTCTTTCTCTTTCTCTTTCTCTTTCTTTATGTCTTTTGTTCTTTCTTTCTTTCTTTATCATTCTATCCTTTAGACCCTTAAAACCTTCTTTTGCCTTCCCTCAAAGTGGTCGTGGAAACTGCGAGAGCTGGTGAGGTAGACTGGACATCTGTGCCTTGGTTATATAATATATATATATACCTTTTGCTACAAAAATTCTGTTCATCAAGTCTTATGTCTTGGACTTCCAACAACTTTTTCCGGTGAACCCGCCCGCATGCCTCCCTGAAAGTGGGGGGTATTAAACGAACTGGCCTACAAACGCTGGCCTCAAATGGCATATTATTTTGTGGAGGCTTGGAGCATGGCCAGACTCTTGCCGTGTAGAAGAAGACTTAGTTTCACACATCGTGACACGCGGGACCTTCTACACAGGTGGACATCTTAGGGAGAGATACAAAAGATCAAAAGGGCCTCCTGTTTTGATCCGCAAAATGCCAAACATATGATATACGAAGGGGAGCTCAAAACTCTTTTCGGTATTGTGGGACCTTTCCTTCAAGCCATGCGATCCTGGTGCCTGAAGTAAAGTCCCATGCCCGCAGGTTGGTGTCCAGAAAGTTCTCCGCCAACAACGTTCCAGGTGCGCCAGGTCTTTCTTGATGTCCTAAGCGAGCCAAACAAGAAGAAACTAGTAGTAACAAGGTGCCACGCTAGTAGTAACAATGTTTGCTAGTAGTATGTCCTAAGCGAAGTTGAAGTTGGCGCTTTGGCCATCGCAAAGGAAGTTCTCAATGTGTTGAGAGAGGACAAGACGCCAATCCAAGTGCTCCTGCGAGCACAAAAGAAAGAGTGGAGATTGAGTGGAGATGCCCTTTGTTCCGTTCGTAGCGATGCCTTTTGCTCCTAGTAGCGTTCTTGTTCCAGTAACTACTCCAATTGTCTATATCGTAATTTTCAGTGCCGGAATTCAATTGATCCATGGAATTCAGCCCCTTAGGTCCTGACGAAATGTGAAGGGTTCATGTGAATTCTCCTTGAACCTCGGAACATCTTTGCTGCTTTGCTCGTTCTTTTTAATGCCAACCGCGCATCTCCATGCTTCTCACATCAAAGTGGCAGTGAAATAGAATGAATTAGTACCCGTCTGGCCTGTCTGAGTATTTTTGCCCAAGGAACACAGAGAAGATGCACACTTCAAAGCGACACCTGGAATTCCAGCGCACCACCGTGCTTGGCCCTCAGTGTGAGTTAGACCACTGACCCAACTCAACTCACTCAGCGTCTCCTCAACTTGTTGGCGATTTGACCGTCTCAAGGGTGCGCACATCCACCGTGGAACTCGTTTGCTGAGGTCGTCTCCTGCTTCTGAGGTATCAGGTTTCAGGATCTCCAAACCGAAGGTGGTCTGGAGTCTTGCAATCTGCACTTTCACCTGGCACATTCCAACATCCTGTCAGCCTATCAGACTACCAAAACATGCCCACATGGCCTCTACGGCTGCTTCTTCAAGGACCAGGTCAAACTCCACTGGTAAACCGAACATCGTGAAGAGAAGCCATGACTTGCCAATTTCACAATGCCTTGCGCATTCACAAGAAAAAACACAATACAGTCAGTGTTTATCTCAAAAACATGAACATTTGAGAGGACGAGCTACCGTTCGTATCGAAGGTAGGAATTCACGCGCTCCAACAACACATGGCGCACTGTGTCAATAGTTGCTTCCACCTGAGAAAAACACATCAAAAGTCGGAGGCTCTTGCAAACAGTTTTTCGGCGCCAGCTGCCAGGCTGGCCAAATAGTTCAGCACTATTCACTCAAGCCAAGCTGCAGGAATCACAGCAGCCATTGTGCAAACTCCCGAAAACAGGAGTTCCACCTCCACGTGGTCGCTGTCAATGCATTCCACCTTCAATCTGCGGCGCTTGGCCTCCAGAAAAAGGCGCAAAGTGTGGCAACACTTGTGTTGTGCTTGTTTGCTTATATTTATCGCAAATTCCTGTCCCACCGTTGATCTTGAACTTAACCCTTCAGCACCCTTCTTGCATCTGAAGGATTGCACAATACTGCGCAACATAAAGTAAGGGGCTGTTGCATGAACACGGGGAAGGCAATTGCACAAAATCCAAAGTGACAAGCATGGCCGGCAACTGCATGCGGTCAACCCAGGAACCACCACGCCATACACAAACAATCTTCATGTGCAGGAGCCCGCAATGAACAGGAGGCACAGCAAAAAATGTGCTAGTGTGTGAACATGTGTTAGTCAGTCTACAAAGCGAGAAAGCAATTGGAGCTGCTGCGCCAGAATCAGAAAGCCGGCAGCCAAAGACTATCAGGAACAAAGCCGTTGGCCGGCTCAAACGCGTCGTCCGCTCTGACCGCCAAAACTGGCCGCTGACTATACACATTTTCTAGAACCAATCGAAAATGCCAAAACATGCACTTAACCTTGCCGGAGAGCCTGTGTTGCCTCGACAACACCCATTTGTGGAACGACATGGGAAACCCTGGGAAAACATCAGCTACTCGTTTCAGCACTTCTTCAGCGAAGCTTGCAGCTCCACTTAGCCGCTTTGTGCTTCGGGCCAAAGACCTTTGCGCATCTGGCGAAACCCACCACAATCTCCCAGGCCATCAAAAGCCATTTGCATGAGCTGCAAAGTCCACCTTTAGCCCTCAAAGTCGCAAGAGAAACTTCTACAAAGTCACGCCGGTGTTTTGAGAAGCCACTTTCTGCGTTCGCACCGCGAGAAGTCGACGCCACCACAGTTTGGAGCCATTTCTCAGAGCAATCCCGCAGCAATGCCCATGAAAAAAATGTCCAAGGCAAAGGCATCCATTTTCTGCTCATCTTAACGAAAGGCCCAAAATGTGGAAAATCCCCAAATGTATAAAGCGGAATTCTGGCAAGGAAACATATCATCCAACGGAGAGAACATGACTCACGTTTGAACAAAGACTCTTTGCACCAAATTGCAGCTGGGCCAACGCGCCGATTGAAAGTGCAACACGACCCTTCAAGCACAGTAAGTCACTCCATTCGCCTCTGGAGGCAGGTCACCAAGTGGCAGAGACGGTCGCATGCCCTGCCTGGCCGAGCGCTCTAGCTGCATAACCTAAACACAAAAACACTGTTTGTAAGGTAAAACTGTCTGGCATTCCTGAAAAAAGGATTGTTCAGATCCTTTTTGGATCTTGTGGCCGTAAGTTGCAAAACCAAACAAATCCTCGCTCCCAACTCAAAACCCACACTCTTGTCGCGCAGGTCGCAAAGCTGATTGTTGCTGAATTCGTATTCAACGTAACAAGCGTTATTGTTTGCAATTGGTAAAAACTGTGACCAAACCCTAAGGCCTCGACTTTAAACGAAGACGCGTCGGCACTCGGCACCTGTATTTTTCCTCCAAGACTTCGAGTTCGACCAGCTGCCGCTGGAAACCCACATTCTCCAAGATCCACGGACGCACTTTGGCCTTGCAAATCACGCACTTTAGGAGCAAGGACGCTACTAGGGGCTCCTGGCATCGCTACTAGTAACAAGAAGCTACTAGCAACTCCTGGCATCGCTACTAGGAGCAAGAAGCTACTAGGGACTCCTGGCCTTACTACTAATGCATTTGAGCCTTGCACATCTTTAGCATTCTTTAGCTATCAGCCTCCAACCTAGAAGCGATGGTCTCCCGAATAGCAGGCACATGCTTGGCTATCAATATTTCTTGTGGGTTCTTGTTGGCCTGTTTGCAAAGTCAAATCCTCACGTGTCATTGTCTGTCAAGAATTCAAGAATCGTTGGTTTTCAGTGATTGTTGCATGCGCAATGTCTGCAACAACCTTTTGAATGTCCCCTGCTGCCTTTCTGGAGCATTGCTATGGGGGTACCTTCGGGCCTGGGTTCCCCCACGCAATTTCGAAGCACATCTTCCAAGTGTTTTCCATGAAGAATCTGGACGGCAATGGCCAATGTAGCAGAGCGGTTTTGCCCAGCCACGCAGAAGAAGAACACATTGCCGCCTGGAGTGGTCTGCCGAATCGATGAAAAGGCTGTTTCAGGAGGTCCACCTCATCGATTTCACAAAAAAAACAAAAACACATTTGCTGGTGTTGTCTTTGTTTTATTGTGCTTTCTTCTTTCTCGCTCTTTTATTTATTGTTTCCTTTATTCATGTTTGAAGAATAAAACAGGTCCACCATGGTCCTGTTTGGCGGATGCGGTCGTAGAAGGTCTTCGCAGTGTCGAGGTGCTCCGAGCGAACTCCGCTACGATCATGGAGAATTGGGTAACCGTAGTTGTCCTGCTCAGCACTTGCTAGTAACAAGGGCATCGCTTCGGACGGAGCAAGGACGCTACTAGGGGCTCCTGGCCTTACTACTAGGAACAAGAACGCTAATTACTAGGAGCAAAGGGCATCGCTACGAACGGAGCAAGAACGCTATTTGGTCAAACTGATGCCAGTGGGGAGACAAGTGGAGTCCCACATGGAGGGACAAAGGAAAATGCCAGTGGGAAACAAGAAGGGAGACATATCGGGAGAAGGGGAAAACATCTCGTGACAGGATGCCACTGGGCGATTTGTAAACCTCGAAATGTAGATTTCACAACAGCCACAGCACTTGGCGGACCTCAAAGCGCAGAATTTGTGGCAGGCAGGGGCCTTAAATGATCCACAATAGGTGAGGCCTACAATAGCCCCACCGTCCCAAGGCGTGCAAGAGCTCGCCCAACACAAAAAAAATCTATCGCATGAGTGGCGGGCTGGCCATAGATAACAAAATAAAAACTCCATTGGGTTGTGCAGAACAAGTTTGAAATCTACGTCTGTCGGCTGCTACTGTCTCAAGGCTCCCACCACGACGCCCCCCAAAAGACAATTGCGAGGTCACAGTCTCTAATTATTCCTCTGGTGGTGGTTGGTATACCCGGGTGTCACAGTTGTTGGAAGCAAACTGCTGAGAACAAGAAGGTTGCTCGGGGCTACAACAAAACACCGTGGATTTGCTTGCTGACACGAGTCAGTTCTGACCCAGTGGGGAAGGCTCAGTACCACCAATTATCAGGGAAGCTCCGCCACCAGCACCACCAGCAGCTTGAAGCCACTGGAACATGACGTTTTGTGATGTTTTGTGGTTGTTGTTTCCAAACATTCAAGGTTGGGGCCAAAACAACACGGGACTACAGTCTTTGTTTGTTGCTAACTATGTGGGAAGAAGAAGCAGGTAGTAAACATCCTCGCTGCTTCCGGTAACAAGGATCCAGCCCGAGGGCTGGAGAAGCCCTTGCATGATATTGAAATGGTTCAAAACATGTGCAATTCAGTTAAGCATGCGCCACAAGGACAACGCGCTCCTGGCTAACATTGGTGAAGCCATAGGAAATACCTGGGCGTAAATCAAAGCGCACGTAAGACGCAAATCTCTTGGAAGCATCTCTTGCAAGGAAGCCCTCTTCTACCGTTTGGAAGCATCAAAGAATCCTTCCGCATCCGAGCTCGCCGGCTCTTCCTACACCCGCCTAGCAAAAAAAAAACAGAACCTGAAATAGCTGGCAAGTAGCGTCCGATCGCTCCATTCGTAGCGATGCCTGTCCTTGCTCCTAAGTCCTAGTAGCGTCCTTGCTCCTAGTAGTAAGGCCAGGAGCCCCTAGTAGCGTCCTTGCTCCTAGTTAGCTGGCAAGTAGCCATTTTCTGTGTACACGTCCAAGTTCAAGGAGCTGATGCCAGTTGGTGCACAATTCAAGGCACCTGTGACCTCGAGGCATCAATTTCAAGAAAAAGCGCTCAACACACTCAGCGTGCTGTCGTTCCATTCCTTCTCAACATGCATACCTTGGTCAAAGTTCATCATTTGCCAATAAGCTTTCAAGCTTTGTTTTCGGTGCTTGATCATTCAACCATCACGAGGGACCAGGACCTTTTCAATGTCCAAAAAGCCTCAAAGACAGAACAACTGCACTGCCTCACGATGGCGCCAGTTCGCCTTTGCATTCCTGTTTACAACACGTTGGTGTCCTAAGCCGCCAGTCGTTGCCAGTCGCCTTTCAGATCGTTCACTCCGTGGACGCTACGAACGGAGCATTTCGCGCATCGCGAACCGAACGGAGCGATCGGGCGCTACGAGTTCCGGGGCTCCTGGCCTTACTACGAACGGAGCAAGGACGCTACTAGTAACAAAGGGCATCGCTAGTAGGAGCAAGGACGCTACTAGTAGCTCCTGGCCTTACTACTAGTGACAAAAAGCTACTAGTAACAAGCGCATTACTAGTAATTCATCCTGCCAAGCTCTTCCTGGTATTTTGACTTCCAAGTACGAATCACAAAGTTGGGCAAAGGAACTTCATCCGTCTTCGCTTTTGCCTCTATATCAACTCCTGATTTCTGGACGTTTTGTTTTTTGCGCTGCGCGTTCATAGAGTTTCTGAGTCTGCAAAACATCTGAAGGCCCACTGTATCAGGCCGACCCACACGGGTAAGCTGAAGGTCAGATCGTCAGATTTCTGCGAGTCTGCGGTGCAGATCTCGACGTCTGTGACTAGCCCTGATGCCTCACGGCAGAGAGATCCTCTACTCAAACTTTTCATCCAGGATTCGTCGGATGAAAGAAACGCACCCTCCTCCCCCCCCGAAGCCACGCTCCGCGAGTTTCAGCACGATTGCATTCAGCAAGGATACCATAAACGCACAACTACATCCCTATTAGTAGGTTGGAGGCCATCTCTTCTAGGTTGGAGGCCATCGCTAGTAGGTGGGAGGCCATCTCTTCTAGGTCCATGGGCTGCAGGGCCATCGCCATAGATTTGTTGGACACTGAAAGGAACAGCGCCAACTTAGAATGGCTGAGGTTCCACACTTGACAGGTCTGTGGCCAAAAATTTGAGCGCCAGATCGCAAACAAAACTTACAAAACATGCAAGCAAATGCAATAGTTGAGCAACACACCGAACAGAAAAGAAAAAAAAGAGGTGCAATCACACTCTGAGCTGCGTCCAGGCTACGCCCAGACTCACAAGAGTACGCACATCGGTTGCATGCTTCTTGTTGCCCACGAAAAGGCCATCGCCGACCTCTTGAGCAAGTCAAGGCAACAAAAGTGTGAAGAGTGTGGCGGATTGTTGCCAAGCCCACAAAGGCCATCACTAGTAGGTAGGTTGGAGGCCATCGCTCTTAGGTTGGAGGCCATTGCTCTTAGGTTGGAGGCCATTGCTAGTAGTTGCCAAGCGCACAAAGGTCTGACGAAGGTCTGCCTGTGATGGGCAGCTGTCACAGTTGTTCTCGATTGGCTGTGCAACCAAGCCCCGGAGCATCTGGAGCTTCTCCTCCATGTATTCCTCACCAGAAAAACGGCCAAAACGATCTATGCACAGCCAAGGCAAAGCATTGCAAAATCGCACCTATGGACCTATCCATGATGTGCCATTCCCTAGAGTCTGCAGTTTATTACCCCGAAGCCCTGCCTGGCTGATTTGAAGCGAAGCCTTTGCACCATTGCTTTTGGGGCTTGGATCTCCCATGGCGTGTCTGGCTTCAGTGTCAGCTTGGATGTCATTCGTGGACGCGTCGCACTGCAGGTGAGTAGGTGGGTATGGTTGTGGGTATGGTGAGGCAAGGTTGTGGACATGCTCTTGCATCTTGGCAACAGGCAAGCTTTGCTTAGATGCATCCTGAAAGTGTCAAGTTTTCTGCTCTGCTACATCTTATCTGGGAGCTTCTTGATCATGGGCAGAGACACAGACCAGCATCCTTTCGTGGCACTCCACACAGTTTCACAGATCGGAAGATCGCAAGAACTTTGACCTCCAGACCTACCTTCTTCGCTGCTCTGCACTGCTCTAAGCTGCTCTCGCCTGTCGGGTACCTGGGTCGCGATGCTCCAGCCGAGCTTCAGCCAGCTTGATCGCCTCGCAAGAGGAGACCCCATTAGACCCAAGAAGCTACGAGTTCCGGAGCTCCTGGCCTTACTACGAACGGAGCAAGGACGCTACTAGTAGCAAAGGGCATCGCTACTAGTAGCAAGGACGCTACTAGTAGCTCCTGGCCTTACTACTAGGAACAAGAAGCTACTAGTAACAAGTAACAAGTAGTGTGGAAGCTGCTCTGGTGTGCCGTCTTGGCCATTGCGCCTTGGAGTGCTGGTGGTTCCCAGTGGTGCCCTTTTGTCTAAAAATCTAGGAGCCAAAGGAGTAGCGTGAGCTTTCCTGCATCCAGTTACTAGGAGTGTCCAGTACCTTGTAGCTACTAACTAGCTTACACCTCCTCCTCTAGCGGCCAACCCCCCGGCTTGGAAGAAAAAACATTGTCTTTCTTTCTCCATCGTTCTCTTCAGGTCATTCCTTTTCTATTATTGAAGTCTGCAAAGTCCGAGTTTCGCTCTGACACGCAAACGTTCACTAGCGCCTTCCTGTGACCCACACCACAAAGCTCCGCCATGCCATAGATGGCAGCCATGCGTGGCAGGGGATCAAAGTCCTCTGTGACTTCCAAGTATTTCCAAGTTGCAATTGCAACACATGTTGGGGTCATATGAGACATCCACTTGTGCAGGATTCGTCCAAATTCCCGATCATTTCATCAGCAAAACCTCCGTCAAACTCATTCAATCCAACAGGGAAAGTAGTTGATCAAAACTGAAAACTGTTTTGAATACCATATTCTGTTTTGTTGTAATTGTAGCTCTCTGGTTGAGTCGAGAGATCCCAGGTGGCAAAAGCAGAGCAAAAGAAGAGGGAAGAAGGAAGAACGAGGAAGAAGGAGGGATGCGAGAAGGGAGAAGAAGTGCCTAGTAGCAAGTGGAAGGCCTAGGAGCTTCCAATACCACTTTAGTTCAACACACCGTGGCCAATGCTCCTCCAACATCCTCGCCAGCTTTCGCAATGATGGGAGGTCATTCAACGTCGCCGTGATGGCCAGTGAGTCTGTGGCAGCCTGCGACAGTGTCTACGGCATTCAATGTTCCACTTGGGACAGTGTCTCCATTCCTAGTAGGTTGGAGGCCATCGCTACTGGGTGGAGGCCGTCGCTACTTAGGGTGGAGGCCATTCCTAGTAGGGTGGAGGCCATCGCTACTAGGGCGTGGAGGGCATCGCTACTAGGGTGGAGGCCATCGCTACTAGTTAGTTTATACATCGCTACGTTACTAGGGTGGACTTGCTCAGCAGCAAACAACCCCAAGCCTTTCGCACAATCCACGACCTCAGTGATCGGAAACCACACAAGTCATTCTTGAAGCCGTTATCCAATGCAAAACACCGCTCAAGCAGCCGCGCCGGTCATCACAAGCGCTCTTCTCCAACTCAATGCTGTGCTGATCGCCCTTTTCCTCACGAAGTTACGAGCGATGCATGGGTCGATGTGGCTGTAGGTCAAAGCCGTTGCAGCATGTTCTGAGTCAAGGGCCGCGATCTTTGCAACCTCACTTCCGGCGCATGGAGGACAGTGCCAAGCAGAAAATCATGTCATCATGGCAAGGTCTTAAAACCTTCATATCCTTCCGGTTGATCGGCTGAATTTACTCCTTCACGAATGTGGTTCATGAATGTTTCTTTCTAAAAAATTACACCACCGTAGACCCCAAACAGGTGGGACAACAATGAAGCATTCCCAAGTCCACTTCTTGAGAATTGAGACAAGGCGGACACAATGACCAACAAGGAGGGAGACAAGAAGAGAGACAAGAAGGGAGACAAAAGGAAACAGAAGGGAGACAAGACGGACACAGTGACCACCAAGAAGGGAGACAAGACCGGAGACAAAGGGGGACAGAAGGGAGACAAGGCGGCCACAATGACCAACAAGAAGGGGGACAAGAAGGGCGACAAAAGGAAACAGAAGGGAGACAAGGCGGCCACAATGACCAACAAGAGGGGAGACAAGAACGAAAACAAGAAGGGAGACAAAGCAGACACAGTGACAAACAAGAGGGGAGACAAGAACGAAAACAAGAAGGGAGACAAAAGGAAACAGAAGGGAGACAAAGCAGACACAGTGACAAACAAGAGGGGAGACAAGAACGAAAACAAGAAGAGAGACAAAAGGAAACAGAAGGGAGACAAGGCCGACACAGTGACCCACAAGAAAGGACACAAAGGGAAACAGAAGGGACGAGGCGGACACAATGACCAAGAAGGGAGACAAGAAGCATATAGAAATGTTCATCGCCAGCAGAAAAGGGCGGACACCAGCAGCGACAGACCAGGGAGACAAATGAATAGAAATGCTACATGGCCAACGGAAAAGGGCGGACACCAGCAGCGACTGCATGGCCAGCGGAAAGGGCGGAGACCACCAGTGACAGACACTGGGAGACAAATGAATAGAAATGTTGCATCGCCAGCGGAAAAGGGCGGACACCAGCAGCGACAGACCTGGCAGACAAATGAATAGAGTTTCTACATGGCCAGCGGAAAAGGGCGGACACCAGCAGTGACACATCTTAAGAAAGAATTGAGAACCCCTAACAGTAAACCGTTTGGAGAACTAAGAGGAATTTAGTAGCTTCTTGCTCCTAGTAGTAATGGCCTCCAACCTACTTGCGATGGCCTCCATCTAATAGCTACTAGTATACTACAACATGGTCACCCTTTTGGAACGGTACAACACGGGGCTGTCCGAGCACCCGGGCTGCCACCACGGCAGCTCGCCGCACTGACTCATGCCAATCATCCAATCTGCACAGGAAATGAGAGAAGGATACAGCAGGACTCAGCTTCGTTTGCTTGAAGAGGACTCTTTTAGTCTCTTTGAAGAATTGCGAACGAAAGTTCTCAAAGGATCTCAAACTGAAGAAATGTCCGAGACATTCAATGTGTATCGTCCTTCTGTTCCGGACGAATTCGCTTCTCAAATTCTTTAAAGGAACAAGTGCATCGCTACTAGTAACAAGTGCCTTACTAGTAGTAACAAGTGCCTTACTAGTAGGAACTTGAGGCCAAGGGGGGGGCGAAAGCTAGCGCTCCAGAATGGGAAAGTGGAGGGCAGCAAGGTAGGAAAAAACACGGCGCTCTCTGTGGAGGCAGGGGTGAAGAGTCCTTTATATGTGGCTCTTTGCTCGGATCCTCCTGCGAGAGAAGAGAGAGAAGAGAGACGGAAAGACGAGAGACAGAGAGGAGAGAGAGAGAGAGAGAGGAGAGAGAGATGAGAGAGATGAGAAAGAGATGAGAGAGATGAGAGAGATGAGAGAGACAATGAGACAGTGAGAGAGTGAGAGTGAGAGTGAGCGAGTGCGGCCGCAAGATACGCAACGCTAACCGCACGCCAAAGAGCGACGACAGGACGGAGTCGAACTTACGAAGAGGGAGGAGGGAGGGAGGGAGGGAGGGAAGATGGGAGGAAGACAAGGAGGAGGAGAGGGGAGGTGGGGAGACCTGAAAAATCAGGGGTTAGGAACCTTGCTATCGCAAGAGTAACGCTTTCGTGATATGTGGCTCTTTGCCCGGATCCTCCTGCGAGAGAAGAGAGAGAAGAGAGACGGAAAGACGAGAGACAGAGAGGAGAGAGAGAGAGAGAGGAGAGAGAGATGAGAGAGAGATGAGAGAGATGAGAAAGAGATGAGAGAGATGAGAGAGATGAGAGAGATGAGAGAGATGAGAGAGATGAGAGAGATGAGAGAGATGAGAGAGAGAGAGACAGTGAGACAGTGAGACAGTGAGACAGTGAGACAGTGAGACAGTGAGAGTGAGCGAGTGCGGCCGCAAGATACGCAACGCTAACCGCATGCCAAAGAGCGACGACAGGACGGAGTCGAACTTGCGAAGAGGGAGGAGGGAGGGAGGGAGGGAAGGTGGGAGGAGAGGGGAGGTGGGGTGGGGAGAGGGGAGAGGGGAGAGGGGAGGAGGGGGGGGGGCCTACCTGTACAGGGTTCCACTCCAACAGCTGATATAGTGTGTCCATGCTTGACTGCTTCAAGGCTCAAGAGAGGGTCAATGGACCTAAAGAGCAAGAGGATAAGACTCTGCGCATAAAAGACACTAGCGGTCTGCACCTCTACCGTGTACGCCCTAGTCACTCTTTCAGTGGTAGCGGAGCAGTGATCCTGGAAGACCCAGGTGAGCTCCTTTCCTAGGCATAGACTTGCTAGTGGGCAAACGGCCATGGGTTGGATTGGCGACTGGGAAGAGCCTGATGCGGATGTGGCTTATGAGCCAGCAGCCTACGTGAATAGGCATGTGAGAAGAGAACCAGCAGCAATAGCAATGACAACACAGGTCACTACAAAGGTGCCCCCATCTTATGATGGAAAGACTTCATGGTTTTCCTATGAGGATGCCATAGACGATTGGTGTGATATCACCGAGCTGGAAGATGAGAA